GGGCACGGCTGTCTCCTTCTGTCCCCGTGCGGTTTCTGTTACACCCACTGCCTAAAAGGATTCATTTCCTCATTTTTATTCTTCAAAGACACGTATCAATCAAAGCAACTCTGAGGCTTCTGAAGCTTCTCGTGAGCATGAGATAATTCATTGGTGCTAATGCACTAGGTTGCTCAGATTCAACCAAAAGCAAAGGCACGTGATAAGTTCGTTTGCATATTTAAATTTGTGGGGATAAATGCACAGTTTTCATTAGACTCAGGAAATAGGAACCTGTGGCTCGCACATCCCCATAGCTGTTTGGAATCCTCTGACTCTCTCAGAACCCCTTGTGGGCCTAGAAGGCTGTGGCCCCTTTGCTGTTGTCCATGAGAAAAAGAGCTCTTCCTACCTAGGGAGCGCTAACTCCATCTCCATGGCAGGGACCCTGCACTGTCCAGAGGGCAGAAGGACCTTCCTGTCCTTTCTGCAAGTGTCCTGGGTAGGAGGAGGGACTCGGTGCATGGCATCGTGGGTTCCGCAGCCCGCACGGCTGAGCTTTCTGGGGTAGCCTGTGGGCTTCTGCTCCGTGAGGTGTGCCTTGGCTCAGAGCCCAGTTCATCCTCTACAATGCTCCGAGTTCATGCGACCCTAGAGGGTAAGCTCTAAGCACCAGCTCGCTGGAAAAGAACAAAACTGGGATTCCAGATTCGCTTCATTTCAGCTGGCTTCCCACAGGAACATTCTGAAATTGGAAGAAGCACTTTCTCCCCCTAGGTAACAGAATTTAACCTATACCGTAATTTTTACCTGAAGCTTGAATTCACAACAGGAGGGATCTAAGTCATCCCACGTCACCTTTCGCTGTGCTGGGGGAACGCAGTGGTTGCTCACAGAGGTTCCCTTCCTTGCAGTGATAGCCAACATTCAGTCATGTGGCGCCCAAGCCAAGTCATTCCACATTCTTGTTTAGAGGTTTTTTTCATCTCTTAGTACCTGCCGCTGGACTTCGTCCCAGTTCTGCTCAGCTTCCATAGGCTGTAGAGCCCGGATGGGCCAGGCCTCAGCTGGCGTGGAGTGGTTGGGGAGGTGGCCTTGACCTTCTGGAGTTCCATTCTCCTCTGCAAATGCCCGAGTATGGTGGTTGCTTTTTCCATAACCTCAGGAGACTTACAGATTCGTTTAGGGAGCGTGATGAGCCTCCTGATATCCAAGTGGTCTGTGTCATCTGAAAAGGCTCCTGTAAGAGTTTACGTGAGCGCTGACAGCTGTGGCTCAGTGGGTTGGGCGTTGTCCTGCAAAGCGAAAGGTCGCCTGTTTGATTCCCAGGCAGGGCACATGCCTGGGTTGCAGGTTTGCTCCCCAGCTGGGGCGTGTGTGAGAGGCAACTGATCAGTGTTTCTCTCTCATATCAATGTCTCTCTCCTTCTTTCTCCCTCCCTCCCCTTCTCTCTAAAAATAAATAAATAAAATCTTTAAAAAAAAAAGTTTATGGGGAAGGATGAGGCAATGCCTGAATCTCTGGAGATTCTGCTGAACCATATTTGTTTCATGGGATCGAGTGGAGGAGTGGTTGGCATCCCCCTCCCTGATTTATGACTTGAAAATAACAAGGACCCGGCCCCTCCTGGGGGCTCCACGGGAGGGAGAATCCGGGACACCGACGTCTGTTGCCGTCAGGGACCTGTGGTCCCTGGTCAGTGTTCGCCCCTCAGCGTGCTCCTGGCAGCGCCCCAGCAGCAGTCCCCTGTCAGCAGCCTGCAGGGTGCAGTGAACGCTGGGCCCCCGGTGCCCCCCAGGGCGGGGGGCTCTTCCCATCCCCCTCTTTTAGCACAGGGCCGGCTCCAGCCGGCTGGGCAGTGGGTGGGGCTGAGCGGAAATGCCTTCTCCTCTCCCGCCTCCTGTCCTGAACCTCTCCGAATTTCAAGTGTCAGCACAAAAGCTCCTTGTTGAGACACTCTTCTCTCATCCACCCCAGAGGGAAGTGCTCTCTGCTCTACGTTTCTGTAACATTTCATATTTACCTCTAAGAGCTATCATTTTCTTCTTTTTTACATGTAGTGATGAACATTGTCTTAGTTTCCGGACTGTAAACACCTTGAGAGAAGGACCCGTGTCCGACTCGTGTTTTTATATTCCATGACCCACAAAGCAATGCCCGCACACAGTAGCACCACCTGGCCTTTCTACAGGAGTTAACACGTACAAGGCACTGTTCTTCCTGCCTCACACGTGCTCATTCTTTAATCCCCACAGTGGCTTTACAAGGGAAGAACTGCCGTGGACTTGTCTCCGTTTCGTGGCTAAGGAGAACCACGCTAAGTGCATCGCGCAGGGTCTTGGAGTAAGCAGTGCAGCAGCACGAGGCAGAGGCTAAGACTTGTCCGCGGCCTCGATGCTCCTCCTGTTGGCCTGTGTGCGCCTGGAGGGCGTTCCATGAATACCTGTGGAATGCATGCAGGCTGATGTTTCTCAGTTACTTAGAAACAATCAGCAGTTGAAGGTGACCTCTACCACCTGAACTGTCTTCTAAGCAACGCGGAGGCCAGAAGGGGGTGCCAGAGGTTGGCTGGTTCTAGTTTTCCTTCCGGAAGTGCTGGATGGGTTGGCCTCCCGAGGTTCTGATTTGGAAGTCAGTAGTGCCATCTAGTGGGATAATTGGCTAATACCAGTTCAGAATTATTTTTCTGAAACCCTGCTAGGCTGTCCTTCCGTTCTGGGACCCTCTTTATTAGCTCCACTTTCAGTTCTGACTGCCAGAGAGAGGGCAGGGGAGGAGAAAGAACCAGCCCGTGTCGGCGTGTCCGGCCCTCAGCCTGCGGGCGCCATGCGGCCTGACACAAAATCGTAAATTTACTTAAAATCTTTTTTTTACATATCGGTTTTCGCTAGCATTTGTGTATTTAATGTGTGCCCCAAGACAACCCTTCTTCCAGTGTGGCCCAGAGACGCCAGAAGGTGGGACACCCCTGGGAGGTCGGGTTTGGTTTCATCCTTGGAGAGTCCACATGCTGATCTGGTGTTTCGGGCTGGTGAAGCCCAGTTGGCGGGCTCCCGACTCCGCCCCCCGCCCCGCCCCGCCCCGCCCCCGCCCCCAACTTCTCACGCACGCGGTCCGCAGTTGAGACCGCTCTTCCTCTCTGGATGCTGGCCTCTGGAGCTGCGTCTGTTTTGAAATTTGAGTCCCATTTTCTTTGGGTTGCCTGCTGTAGTGTGACACATATCCCACGTTGCGTAGAAGAGGGTGCTTGACGCATGGAAGAGGCCAGTGCCTCCGTGCGAAATCCCACGGGACAGCAACATGGTCGTGTCATTTTGTCATCAGGGCCTTTGGGTATGCAAGTGTGTGAGCCCTGGCGCAGGGGAGATGATCAGTAGCCACACCATCGCCAACAAGAGGCGAAGAACTGCTCTGTGTCGACTCTGTGGCAGGGGTGTCCAACCTCTTGGTGTCTCTGGGCCACACTGGAAAAAGAGTTGCCTTGGGCTGCACATTAAATACATTGCGACACGTAATCACGAAAAGCGTCTCACAATGTTTTAAGTAAATCTACAGTTTTGTGCTGGGCTTCGTTCACAGCCGGTAGACACCCCCGGTAGAGAAAATGTGGAGAACGGGACTGTGTACACTCTTAGTTCTTGCCACACAACTGAGGGTTTTGTATGTGGACTGTTCTGGTTTCTTGTTTGAAATTTTGAAATAAATTTGCTTCTAACTGCACTTACTTCTTGCTAAAGGAACAGACGTGCATGGTTATAACCGTGACCACAAAACCCCGGTGCTCCTCTGACTGGCAGCGCGCGGCCCCCGCGAGGCCCCCGCCTACCGCGCAGGGCTCCGGCCTCAGGACGCGCTCTGCGAGCTCAGTGCCTTTGCTGCGGTGGACGATTCTATCAGAACAAGGAAACAGTTTTGGCTTTACTGGAGCCTGGGTTATGGTGACACATACGGTGATGGGAGTTCATGATTAAAATCTGTGCCAAGCAGGGGTTTGCTACCTTTTTCTTTCAGAGGCCGGGGAGGGGGGCGGGGGGAATATTTTAGGCCTCGTGGGTGTCGCGGTTTCGCCCCTTCGGCTCAGCCTTCCCTCTGCCCTAACAGCGAAGCAGCAGCCATAAATAGCACGTGATGAATGGGTTTATAACTCCGCAGTTCGAATTTCATATAATTTTCACGTCATGAAATGTTTTTTCCCCCCAACTATTTAAAAAGGCAAACACCACGAAGAAAAAAAGAAAAAAGCCAACCAAAAGGCGAACGCCACTTCCAACTCAGGAGGCTCATCAGACTAGCGGCTGTGAGCTTGGCCTTGGGGGCCGTAGTTCGGGGCTCCTGATTGGATGCCTAGAGTAGTTAATAGTTAGCAATTAATAAAAGCGATGTGCTCCTGAGCTCTGTGTTCAGTCTCCTGAGGCTGTGAGCAGCTTTTCCGGGTCTGGAGTGGGACCAGGGCTGCCGCCTGCGGGCTGTAGGGGCCGGAGCTCCGCCCTGCAACCCTCCGCCGCCTTCCCTGCAGGCGCGGGAGCAGGTCCGCTGCCCCTCACCCTACACGATCCTTAGTCCTGGAAGATCCCGCCTCCAAGCCTCTCCGCCCTGCCCCAGCCTGCCCGCCTCCAGTCTGTATCGGGTCCCTGCGCGGCGGGTGCGGGTGCGGGTGCGGGTGCGGGTGAGGAATGGGGCTGCCGTCCTGGTCCTGGTCCTGGTCCTGGCGTAGAGACGGGAGGCCCAGGCGCAGAGGGCCCTGGAGGCGCCTGCTCGCTCGGCTGCTGGGCGAGCCGGGGAAGAACACGGCCAGGCTCTTCCTCCTCGGCGTTAGGTGTGTCGGGGGCGTATTGGCCAAATGTGTGTCATTTCTCAGATCCACGGAGGCCTGTGCACTCTTTGTGCAAACTGCCATGACACGGGAACTTGCGTTTTGAAAGTTCTGTAAGCCTGTTCCTTTGTCAGGTGGAGCCTCGGCGACCTCGCCGGGTTGAGAAAGAAGCTGGGCGCTAACGGTCCTTGCCCTGTGTTTCCGCAGCAGCCAGCAGAGCAGCCTGCAGAGCAGCCAGCAGAGCAGCCACGACGATGACTCCAGCAGGTTCCTGAGTCCGCGGGCGCAGGAGGAAAGGTGAGGTCGGTGAAGGGGTGGGGTGACCGGTGGCGGAAGGCTGTGCGTCCTCCGTGAGCGAGCGGAGCTGGGAAGAGAAGTGGGAGGCAGCTCAGAGGCTGCTTACACGCGCGGGGGCCACGGGAAGGGACGGCGCCTCCGGGCTCCTGGTGGGCGACGGCACAGTGGGCACACCAGGTGCGTGGGCAGGACGTCGGAGCGGCCCGGGGACTTGAGGCCCCTGAAGGGCTGGCGCAGTGTGGGCCGGGCGGGTGGGTGTCTCGTGCCTGAGGAAAGCTGCGCGCGTGGCTCCCGCGGCAGTGGCCCCCGAGGCTGGCCGGTCGCAGGGGTCAGAGCATAGTGCGGACTGAGATGGGGGTAGGCGTGCAGTGAGCAGAGAGGTTCCCCAGCGCCCCTCCGCAGGTCCGAGGTGCGATTCGTTCAGCCCTCAGGCTGTGAGTGTTACCGAAAAGGGGCCTGGCCGGAGAGGGTCTGCCCCGGGCCAGCTGTCGTGTGTGGGTCCTTGACTTCCTGCCAGCAAGGTCTTACAACACGAGCCAGGTGGCCGAGTGCGCTTATGAAGTCTGGGGACAGTGACACAGTGAAGGGCTTAGGGTACAAGAAGCAACAGGGGAGCCCGGGCGGGGCTGCTTTGACTCCAGAAATGTGATGGCAAAGGAGCGAGCCAAGGCAGGGCTGCTGTCGGCTGGCCGGGAAGTCAGAGGAAAGGGCGCCTTGGAGACGAATCAGAGGGTGAGCCCGGCCGAGCGGCCGCTGCGCGCTGCTCCCCTGGTTACAAGTCTTGTGGGGACCCTTAGAGTTTAGGAGACGCACAGCGGTGGGGGAAGAAGAGAGGGAGGAAGGCGGGAAGAAGAGGGAGAGGGAGACGGGAAAGAAGAGGGGGAGGGGAACGATGTGGACGTGCTCCCGGGAGGGAGAGCGAGTACTGGGACCTTTGTTTTGAGGGGTTTTAAAGGCTGGGAGTCTAGGGGAGGATTTCGATATAATACCGACGGCCTTTTGCTGATGTGCCAAAATGAGATTCATTCCCTAAACTTCACCCGTCCTTGGGTGTGACTGGCAAATGGCACTGATAGGATTTCTGTGATCCAGCTCCCTGAGGAGCGTGGTTTAAGCTATTCACCCTCTGGTTGGGGAGGAGACGGACAAACCACTTACTCTCAAGTGCCCTTGGTTAGGGAGGAGGATAGGGCTCACCGACGGCTGCAATCTGCTTCTTGGTCGCTGCTTCCCTGTCCCGCTGTCCGTGGCCTGGCCTGTCTCGCGGAGAGCAGCCAGCACTGCGCCACGTGGTGCCGGCCCATGGACTGAGCTCTGCGGCCGCAGGTTGAGCCTTGTGCAGGGAAAGCCGGCCGTACTGGAGGTCTCCCCGGTGTCCCACGCGGCTCTGCTTTTGGTCTAGCTCGGATTACCACTTATATCAACAAACTGGAGGAAAACTAGAAGGTACTTTTACTTCGTTTATCAAATTTGCGGCAGACACACAGCTGAGAGGGAATAGAACTATGGGTAGAAACAAGGAGACTTTTATGTTTAAAGTAAATGTGCTATTATACGTTCATAAAACATTTATATTGCATATTTATATGAGAATATTGCCTGAGTGTCGGGATATCCCTGGGGGCCAGCGGCACCCAGCAGTGCAGCCTCGTGACAGCATCGACAGATTTCATGGGGAAAAGGGTTTGCGGGTTTTATTTACTAGCCAAATACGAGCCAATAACGAGGCACAAGTATCAAATGGTCCTTGAAAGTCTGAATTTATAAATGGAAGTGGAGGGGAAGAGAGTAAAAAGAAAAAGCCAGTTTCACTGTGGCCTGTCCTAGTTTGACCGTATCTGGTGTATTCCATCCAGTTCTGTGGCAATGGGTATTGAGAGATTAGAGCCCAGAAAAAAGTGACGAGGGCAACAGCGATGTCACTAGGAGGGCGGGTGAGGGAAAGGGGCTGCGGAGGAGAAGGGTGCGGGCGACTAAGGAGAGCACTTGTTAAGTGTCTGAAAGCCTGGGAGCTGGAGCCACAGAGCTGGGAGTTGCAGGGAGAAGGGTTTCAGCCCAGGATAAGGAGGGGCTTTTCCATGACAAGATCATGAGATCAGAGCCACGCCATAGTGGAAGGGCGTAGCAAAGCTGCGACCTGTCCCCGACCTGTCCCCTCCACAGGTGTGTTCCAGCCGCACTAGGCGGAGTGTCTAAAAAGGGCTCGCCCTGGGCCAGAGGCTGAGGCCTCTGGAACCCTTCTTGCTTCAGATGACAGGTTCTGTGGGCTCTGCCCTGGCTCTCAGTTGTTTTATGTTCATTGGTAACCAGAACTGAACAGCTCAGCTCATCAGTTTCAACGACAGTGTCCGGAAGGGGAGGGCGGCGGTCCAGGGGCAAAGACTATTTTACTCTTGTTAAGCTACTCAGTCAGTTTGTTCCCTCAGCCTCTCGGGTGGCTACACTGTCTTCTCGAAGCTTTCTGGGTTTCAACAACCATGCTGTCGAAAAGAGAAGGGACCTAGGGCTCCCCTCGCACAACTCGCTTCCCTGAGTGTGTGCCAGGCACCCCCTAAGCGCACCCTGCTGTAGTCTTGAAAAACGGTGTGCATGGCAGCCTAGGAGGAAATAAACCTCCACGTAGTGTCCAAGCCTGAGGGCTTCCGAGAGCTTTTTTCCTTTCACCTCAGTTTCTGTCCTGAAGGAAAAGACCCTTTGGGACCATAACGAGGGCAGAGGATAGTCATTTCCCGAGCAGGTGCGGGTCAGGGAGGAGGGTGGATTTTAGGACAATAATCACTTTTTGAGGTGTGGGGATTGTCTCAGAGAGAGGAATGATCCCCCCAGGTTTCCAGCAGAAAGAAAAGTAGATCTAACTTCCCAAGGTATGTGTGTATATGTGTGTGTGGGATCCATTTTTATCCTTCTAGGTGAAGTCAAGGATTCACATAAAAAACACTAGTTCCCAGGTTCAGCTCAAACTGGAGCAATTGTTAGGGTTTCTCAATAGCAGGAACTTTCACACAAAGCCAGAGAACTGCAGGAAAAGGAGCTGTTTACTAAGGACCATTTATGTAACAAAAATTAGTTTCAACAGAACACTGTCAGTTAATGTAACAATATTAGTTTCAGAAGAACACTGTCTCAGTTACCCAGGAAGCCTGTTTGTGTAGGAAAATGGAGACTTGTGCAGGGCTGGGATGTCCCGGAGTGCGCGGCAGGGCCACTGGCATCAAGCTTCACTCCCGCACGCAGGCATGTGCAGCACACCTTTGTGCAGCGTTTACGACACCCTGGGGAGCCTGCGGGGGTCCAGGCTGCAAGGTGGGCAGGAGCTCACTGTCCACTGGTGGGCACTGTGGTGGCTTGGAGAGAGCGAAAGAAAGCCCTAAAGACAGACCAACTTTGTTTTGACTACCTTCTTTTTTTACTGTGCGTTTTAAAAAGCAACATCCTTAGTTTTCCTTAACCATAGGTCCCTCCCTTGTAGAAGTCTCTTCTTGTAAAGAATCCGTGAGATGGTGGGTGGAAGGTGCCTGGTACTTAGTAAGTGGTAGCTGGTAGCCATCTACCGCTTGCTGCTGAGCAGTCGATGCTTTTGGCTCTCATGAGGTTTGCTCTCAGTTTCTCAGCAGAGCAGACCTGCACTGCTCTCTGCCCTTGAAGAAGCAGAGACAGACAGAACACGGAGCACCTGCCAACTGTCATACATCGCTACTAAGGACACCTGGATGAGACATGGTGTTTCTCCTCAAGTAAGCAAGTAAAATATTATGTAGTCATGACATGGATGAATAAAACTGAGGCATTTGCTTACTACGGTGCCTCAGCCGGTGCAATGAGTCTTGTGTACACTTTTAAATACAGTCTTCTCAGCAGCTCAGTCAAATAGATGCTATTATTATCTTTGTCTTAGAATTTAGGAAACAGAAGCTTAGTGGAGTTAAGAAGTTTGCCCATTTGTGTGTGTGAGCACGCATAATATGGGGAATTGCCCGGTTCTTGAATATTTAGTTGTGTTTTTTAGTAAGCCTTTAGGGTAGGACGTAACTTCCTAGATAAAATAAGGCAGAGAGCAGAAAAATAATAAAGTGATTGATATATTGACCTATATCAGGAGAAAACCAGAGTTTTATTAGGTTGTTTTTTACATATCTCTTAGCCTATTTGTTGGAATGGTGTGTATTATGTTACTAATGAAAAAATTTAATAAACAATTTAATTATAATTAAAAAACTTGCCCAAGAGAAACACAGGTACTCTGCGTGGGGTGGGGCTGGGGGGAGGGTGGTTCCCTGAAAGACCCGGGGGACCGGGCGGTGTCTCTGCTGAGAGTTGCGGGGTGAGTGGTGGTCTGTCCTGTGGGCGGCAGCCCCACTGGGCGAGGGAGCAGCCTGCGGCGGGTGCAGGGAGGCCGAGACAGCGTGGCTCACTCAGGAACTGCAGGCGCTTCAGTGTCACCGAGGGGTTCTGAGGAAGGAGGTGCCCGGGTCCCTCCCGGCTAGTCCCGTGGGAAAAATTGCTTTCGGCCTCATGTGGAAGATGAATTTCAGGGGCAAACTCCAGCCACAGAGAGGAAAGGAAGGAGCCTGTGGCAGTTGTTGACCCCTTTTTCCCACAGTTAACAAGTGCTCGTTGAGTGCGTCCTCTTGCAGGCCTTGCGGGTACAGCTGTGAACAAGGTAACCACTGTCCTCCTTTCATGGTGCTTACTTTCTAGTGAGGGGAGATAGAGAAACAAGGAAACATCAAGTAGTAATAAGTGCTATAAAGAAAATAAGCCCTGGCTGGTGTGGCTCCGTGGACTGAGTGCTGGCCTGTGAACCAAAGGGTCACCTGTTCGATTCCTGGTCAGGGCGCAGGCCCGGGTTGCGGGCCAGGTCCCCTGTTGGAGGCCTGTGAGAGGCAGCCCATCGATGTTTTTCTCACACATCGATGTTTTTCTACCTCTTTCTTTCTCCTTTCCACTCTTTGTAAAAATAAATAAATCTTTTTTTAAAAATGAAAAAGGATGACGCCTTG